AACAGTTTTAAAAATATCGCACGCGAATAATCACTTGGTTTTTCTAATTTTTAAATTTGTATCAGTAGAAATGGCAGCATTACAAAGTAAGTAGAATAGGTGCAGTATTAGTTTTTCTAAACAGAACATCCAGCCGTAACTATGAAATATTTGAAGATTAAAAGATTTCATCGCCATTGACATTGCCTGACGTGATTATCTTACTGTCTTTTTAGTGCGAAAAATACTTTCAATATTTTGTAGGCCCTTCTTGGGTACATCCATTCCGTCTCTCTGAATTCTGCCTGCACCCAGTAATGAAGACAATCCTGGTCATTGATTTCGCCCCAATTGAGCGAATTTTGATTCCCAAACATGGCAATTATTTCCTTGTGGAATCCTCAACCCTTAAGGCTTTTGAATCAGGATTACACCTCAAGGAATCCGGAATCCTTCTAAAAATTATAATGCAGAATCCAAGTTCCACACACAAAGACCGGAATTCCGTACCTAGAATCCAGGATCCACGGCTTGGAATCCAGAATTCAAGACTGTCTTCCAATTGGACTCCCTTACAAAATGTACTCGGAGGAATCAATTTAAGTACATAAGAAAACTCTTGATACTCTACCGTTAGCCCGAGTAAGTTTATGCGCAGATAACTTTATTCCCTTTCACCAAATGTTACCGTTTTTCCGAGTTTGATTGAGCATAAAGTCCTTCGCAATCAATTCTTTATTGAAAGGGGATCGTCGTTTTAAAGACATTGGCCGAAAAATAAAGGACCAAAAAAATCAAACTGTCGGTATTGGCAAAATATAGCCTGTCGTCAAGCAGGCTTTTTGGTAGCGTGAGAAAACAGCCAACATTTCGCGGGGAGAAATGACGACTGAGAAACGAGCGGAGAAATTCCATACTGATGACGCGTTACTACCCAGATCTTGATAGTGCTTCTGATTAGTTTCTCCCAAAGCGCGACGACCACGCGCGGGATCTAAAGCATAAATCTCGTCTGCGCATGCCCTCATTATAAATGCACCGCTAGAATTGATAACTACGGGAAATGTTTTTTCTTTTGATGTATAATTTGCTAATATTGGAGAGGAGTTTTTCTCGATAAATGGCATTTTAAAGTAGCTTCGTATAGTTCTTAGCCATTGTCGAGTGTCTGCTTGGCAAAATAATAAAAATTTAATAATTCAAGTCCATAAATTAAAGTTCATTTTGTTTTTGAGTTGTGTCCAGTTTGGACACGCATTACAGTTTTAATTTAACCGGCCTTTTTTTCATTTTTTTTTTATTATTTGAAGAATCTATAGAGCAGATCACATTTTATATTTTAAAATTGAAAGGAGCCTGAGGCAACATATTCTCTCCTTTTAAAATGAGTTTTGCTTATATCAGTCACTTTGAGTCAAAAATTCTAAAGCGCGGATTCCGGATACCAAAAGCAAAAAATTACACGGATTCCGAAATCCAGATTACCATATTTGGAGCGATTCAGTTTCTAAACAATGCTTCATGCATATATAGAAAACTATTTTTTCCATATCTTCTTTTTTGTGGTAGGATTTGTGATTCTATTTTGAATTTTGGTTTCTTTTTTTGAGAGTTTCGTTTAATATTTTGGGATATGCGTATCTTAGGCCGGATTGTGTGATTCTAAATTGGGTTTGCTTGTGTTTCCTTTTGGGAATAGTGTATTTCTGTTTGGAATGTTTGTTTCTCACTCCTGATTAACGTTGGGTTACCATTTTCCGTTTTGGCTATGTGTTCCTGTGCGGGGGTAGCGGGTTACATTTTCGAGTCATGAGTTTTTATTTTTGTTCCTTTCGGTCACAATGTACGTATGTTGAAAACATGCCATTGAACTTTGGTAACATGACATGCTCAGCCAATCATATCGATACCTGAAATCACACCCTCTCGTCTTTATCTCTATATGTTTTTTGTGATAAGAGGACATGATGCAATGATGTACCTATTTGTCAGATCTCCTGCCATATAGAGTGTTTTCACATGACGTCACGGCGGCCATATTGGTGTCCCAAAACAATGAAACAGCGGCCATGTTGGTGTCTCAAACCAGTCCCCTGGGAGTTGAACTCTTTTCTTATGCAAACGCTTTCTTTTGTTACAATAAATTTGCATATATGCTGTCCACGTGAGTGAAAACACTCTATACGGTATTTTTTCTAATTAGCTCAAAAACAATACCTATGAAATACACTGTCTCGTTTGCCTGATGATTTGGTGAAGTGTTCTTCTCACCGCATTCTGATGCTTGCATTCGTATGTGAACAAAACATATAACCGATTTAAGTGTGGTAAACATTTACCGTAAATGTTTTTTTCTTTTTCGATTTTGTGGCGGATGATAATAAAGAAATGAATATCTTATTTTAAACTCTTATAAGATCCTTGATCAAAGAAAGTAATCAGTAGTGGTCACTGAGTGAAAGAAAAGTCATTTTTTCTCTATGTACACAAGAACCCTCAAGCAATTAACTGCTTTAATATTCATCGTGTTTAAATAAAAAATTATTTATTTATTTATTCATTCATTCATTGAAGTCCTTTACGCATGAAAATCATACGTTCTGGACAAATCTTTGCTGACGTATTTGTTTAAATTTTTTTGCCTAATCGTTAAAATTTTCATAAGTAGGGCTAAACAAAAGATCACCTTTCAAAACTGAAATACAACGCAACAGAAGCAGCTGACAAGATTGACTAAATAATCTGTGCAATGTTTAGATTTTGCATGTAATACTTAAAGAACTAGTATCAGCCATCAAGGCAAGCCAAATTTCTTGGTGTAAAAGAATTAATTAGACCATCAGTCCATTTGTAAAAGTTTGAGATTTTAACATCATATATCAGAAAAGAATAAAAAAAAAACGAAATTTTCGGAGAGAGTGTAATTCAGCTATTTTTACTCGATAATAAGAAAACGTCGAGAGTTGTGTTACGTCATCAACAAGCTCCAATAGTCGCATTGCTTTTGCGCACAGAGCAGCAAGCGTGGATACGCGATACTTAACGCTTATTGGATAAAAATAAGGGAGGGGAAGACGACAGATGAGAGACCCCGGGGACGAATTGATGTAAATTTCACTAAATTCTGAAACTGTTCATAATTTTGTTTCCAGTGACTCGAAGGAGTTTTACTTAAGTATCAGGAATTAATCACCCTCTTCAGAAACAGACATTTCTCCTGCAAGGTAGGATTACTAAAAACCGTGCTTGAAACATCTTGCTAAGAAGGAGACCAAAAAGTTTTAGCATACACAACCAAAACGATTAATAGCGATCATAAAATAATAGAAATTTTTGGGTTAAAGGCTGGTGTGAATGTTGTAGCATCAAACACGCAAATGAATTCACAGGCTTTAAAGTGTAAGAGAAAAATTGAAGGCTCACCTAGCTGAATCTGAGTTATTTTAAAGACTTTTGGATAGAAAAAAAAATAAACAAACAACAACAAAACAAACAGACAGATTAATACCAGAGCACTCACTCAATGTAATAGCTTAGAGTATCTGAGAAAGCAAAATGAAGATAATTGGATTCAAAATTCTGAACAAGGAAGAAGTCGATCTACCTAAGCGATCAGATGGTTTGAACTCCATTTTAGTATATTTTAATTAAGATTACTCTCGTCACTCAAACCGTGTCGTCATGCATTTTAAAAAGGTCTTTCAGTGGTTTCCGTTTTCAGTGAATGCATGTAATATCAAATTCACCTTGGAAACTGTAAATATTTTAAGCACCGATATGATGTAACTCCGAGTTTTGTAAATGTCAAACCAAAATTTTTAATACCATTTCCTTAAACTGATTTATGATGATGATATTGTTGGGGACCACAGAACCAGAAATTTAACGGTGGATAGGAACATGGTTTTCAGTTTTCCATTCACCTGACTGCGATATCTTTATTTTTAGAGGACTGAACGCCCAAAGACAAGCTTGGAGTATTATGGCGGTGAGTCAAATTCAGTAGGCTCTCTGGTCTTGCATCTGTATTATAGCCGGCCTACAAACTATTGAATTGTTTGCACTTTATTCTTTAGTTTAACTTTCTTTTCGGTCATGAAACGCGGTGTAAGTGGATTTTTTTGGTTAATTTTTGAACAAATTAGCACCAAAAAGATTAAACTTCATGACTAACTGATCAACTTTAAAATAATCTGGCTGGTGGGCGATATAACCAAACGGGGCTGTTCTTCAAACGTGATCTGAACAGTGTTTTAAAAACACTGCGAAGTCCTGGAGTTACCCCGACCGATATCACTAATCTGTTGTTAACTTTGACCTGCCGCAACCCAGAGCCAGGTGGCTCGACTGGATACTTTAAGGGGTATACTTCCCCACTTAAAGGGTTTACTAATTCGGCATTAATAAAGATATTGGAAAAAAAGGGTGTCCACAGTTGTACTATATTAAGATAAAAGGTTGTTATGATCCATGCTTTATTGACATCGGAGTTGCAATGGCAAGTTATGACGCCATTCAGTTTTTTACTTGCCTTTGAATTTCTCGTTACCAGGAGTGTCTTTGTTTTTTTAAAAAAATCGCTTAAGTGAGCTTGCACCCGTCCTTTTGTAGCCTCGGTTATGACATTATGAAGGTTGAGAAAATTCCATGAGAGCGTTTATGAAATATTTTGAAACAAGGGTCATAAAAACACTGAGTAAAAATGCTTTCGCCAGCCTTTTTCGCTCGTCTACACTGACCGAAAACCTGGCACAGGCTAGCGCATCAGGTGGATCATAAGACTAGGTGAACAAGTAGGTGTTAGTCTGTATAAATCGGTTGGCTTCTTCTTTGAATTGTCGGATTCAGTTCTCACCCCGCCTTGCTTTTCATACGTTATGTACTAACGAGCCTCCAGTTTTTGCAGCTTTAACTTTGTCTTTTCCACGTAATTAACCAGCTCAATGGAAGAGATCTTACTACATTTTTAGCACTATTATCATCATCATCATTATCAATATAATTATTGTATCACATTTTAGTTAATTGACAAGTTGTTACGTGAATTCGCCAAGGAAAATTTTGGAGATCGAGAGGGACATTATATCCCTGTTGTCCATGGCCAAACTCAAGATATTAAGTTATTTACGCTGGTGGTAAGGACATCTAGGTACGTTCTGGAACGCCCGTTTAAACGATATACGTATACAGTTGTGGGGGAACTAGAACATTACGTAGCAGATGGAAAAAGGGACGAATATGAAGCCTTGAAGAACAAAAAGGTTGTAAAAGATGAGATGGCGTCAGTAGGGGGAAGTGAAGATGGCAGCGGTGCTGCAAGGTAAACTTACATTACTGAAAAAATTTCCCTGCATGATACTGATACAGAAAGTTAACATTTACTAGTTTTCGCCTCGTTACAGTAATTTATATTCATAGCTTACTTAAACCTGCCCCAGTGGCTTTAGAAAGCTCAATTTGTTGTCTTGTTAGAAACTGAATAATAGAGGGAAGGTCTTGGACCCTTTGAGGAGCTATTTAGTTTTTTCTGCGAACAAATTTGCCGCGTAGTTTCTTACATTGTTTGATTGTTATAGCGGAGCTCCACGCGCGCGCGAAGCGCGCGCGTGGGCGGAGCCCCATTGCTAAGTAAATCTACCCATCCCAGAAAATTTGGTAATCACGTGACCGCACACCGACCGCCGGTTCGTCCGCACCACAGGACAACCAATGTTTACTCACACATTTTAACTAGTTTGGGAGCCCAAGAGAAAACTAATTTCACATCAATGTTGTGATCAATTGACAGCTGTCAAAACAGGACATCTGCTGACCAGTATCACCTGACCGTACCGCGGGCTCAAGTGTTGACCCAGCGAGGTCGAGTATTTTTTGAAGTTATCCGCTGATTAATTACCAGTTTGAAATGATCGCAGGCTCAAGTTTATTTTTTCCAAGGATTCATATCAAATATGTTGTGTTTATGTCACTATGGCCCCGCACTATCAGAATTTTGATTTCAAACTGACTTCGGAAGCGAAAATTCAGCCAGTTTTTTTAAAAGTTTCAGGCGGGGAAGACCTTATCTTACCATGGTCACGCGTTGGTCACGCTCTACGTCCAATTTTTATACTCTGATTGATCAAAATTTGACAGGTGAGTTCGTGCGAAAAAATTATGCAGCATCTTGAAAATTGTTTACTTTGACAGCTGAAGCTGAAGGGTTTTGTGTCAACTTGTGATGTTTTTAACTGTCTTTTTCTTCTGGATGTACAAAATGAAATACAGCTGCTATCAAGAGTCTTCTGTTATTCATGGCTGGTTTGTTTACTGGGTTTTTGGTTGAGGAACGCGTCGCTTATCAAAATTTGGTAATTCGATTTCGGATGGCATCGTTTTCGTTTTTCACCTTGCTTAATGCGTAAGAGGGTTTAAAAGTCTCAAGCAACTGTGGCTTTCCTTGATAGCTTTCAGGGACTGAATCTCGAATGGTAAGCCTGAGTAACTATTGTATTTGATGTTTGTTTTTTAATTTCATGAAGTCTTGCACATTCACGCTGACAGTTTATGCGGCAAGTTTATGCACGTTTGTAGCCGTAGTTTGAGTCAATGATCTGACCTAGTATCAGGTTTGAACGGTTTGATATAAGCTTACAGAACTTTAAAAAGCCTCCAGATATATTTGCTCACCACAGATAGAAAGAAAACGTTCCGAAGAATATTTAGTTATAAATTTGGCTGTAGAAAGAAAACTTTGAGCGATTTTCTTGCTTCGAGGAGTTCACCTTGGAAAACAGTAAACACCCGTGCTTAAGCCGGCTTATAAAGCTTCACGCCGAGACTCAGGATTTTTAGAGACACTTTAATGCTTGTCTTCATGAATGAAAATTGTTATGTCTGTAAATGTTTCACCGAATTATACTTCTTTTTTTGATTGTTAGTAGTCTCTCTTGCAATTTTAATCGCTTGTCTGTGCCGTTTGTTTTCATCGTTCATGAACATGGCTTGCAGGAGTACTCAATGTCGCGCGTATCAAACGCTTTATAAGATTACACATCGTTATAACTGAAACCATTAAATAACAAAAAAAATAATAATAAATTCGCTATTATGTTGAAGCTTAACTCTATTAAAGTTCATTCAAACACTCGACCACACTCAGGGGCACCCAACGGCAATTTTCGGGAAAATATCTGTTCGGAAGACGATTTGAGAACTAGAATTTTCGGAACATTTGTTGTAAAATTTCTTGCTTGCCTGCCTCTCCTAGGATTTTCGAACATCTACAAATTGGTATAATTACCCATTTTAAACGGATATTCACCCTAAAAAAGGTCACCTAGAATTTTCGGGAGCCTTTTCCTGGCTGAAATTTTCGAAAAGGTAAGTTTCGATCCCTATAATTTTCGGATCACTAGACTTTCAGCTAGGAAATCCGAACAGATGAAAAGTTTTTAGGGGATAAAAATATGCCTGTATCTACCGTTTAAATACTAAAATACGTTCAACAATGCTATGTTAAGTGGTTTTGAACTATATCCTTGTTGGGTGCCCCTGCACACTGACAGCTCGCACTATAGAAACGAGAACCGGCTGCCCATATGGGTGATTTTGGAAATTTTTGAACGGTTTCGCTTTACGATTGATCGTCCTGAATATTGACTGAGTGCAATTTGTCTTGAAAAATTGTGAAACACTGCATTCTGTCCGCGGTCTGTATGATAAATAGTACTGTTTCACCTCAAAGGTGATGTACAAAAATTATAAAAGGTTGGTTTAAACACCCCCAGATTTGTTGGCAAGAATTTGTAAAGTAAACCTGTCGAACGCAAAAAAATTCGGCGTGATTTGTTTCCCAAGAATTTGTTTTCGAGGCCTAATCTACTGTGATCTTGAATGTGATCGAAGATGTTTGCTATTTTTTGGGTGTACATATAAGGTTATCAATTCGATGTAAGATGTTTCACTCTCAAATAATTTAGCCTTTCCCTCAAACGTCACATGAATGTGCCCTTAAGTTAAATGATTTGTAGATTAAAAGTTTATTTTTTGATTTAAATTATAAATTTATTAATTGGAGCTTCGCTTTTAGCCCTGGCTAAATCTATATATTATTTGTATACAATTTGCAACAATGACCATAGATTCATTTCTAGTGTGATACGCTTTTGGTAGCTATTGTCACAGCATTTGGCTATCATTTATTATTTTATGCTCTCTAAATCCATATTCCGCGATACAGACAAATGCAAGCCACTTTATACAAAAGGATACATTGAAGTGGATGTGACAGCCATACCAGTAATCCTTTTAGAGGAGTAAACCATCTCACTTCCTTTCACGGATTACTTCCGGCATGTGACCCCTGTCACACTGAATAATTTCTCAGCCAATCAGATAAAAGCTGTCACATAAACAGTGCTCAATTCAGCAAAACAACAGTCCAGCCTCTCTCGCCGAGGTTCTTATGAAAGTTTCTGTCTCTTCCTTTGGGAGAATCCAAGTTTCCTCCTAAGATAGAGACAGGACTGTTTTTTCCTGACGGTTAGAAGACACCCAATCACCACTAAGATTAGTGATCACACCCGCGTATATTGGTGGAACATTTGCTTGGAATAAAGTGCTCCCTTACTTGTGACCCTTTGTGACCCCTACTTGTTACTGCTTAATCCAGGGAAATGGTAATCAACACAACCACCCCTCTATAGCCAAGGGGGTTCTTCGACAGAGGATTATCACCTCTCAGAACCCTGGAGGATTATCACTCCAAGAGAGAACTATAACCATTCACAACCCTGGAGGATTATCAACCCCTAGAGAGAATTATTACCTGTCACGACCATGCGGGATTATCACCCCCTGGAGAGGACAATCACCTGTCACGAACCTGAGGGAATATCACCCTGAGGGAGGACTTACAGCTCTCGCTACCATGTGGGATTATCACTCAGAGAGAGGATTATCACCTGTCACGACCCTGATAGTCTGCTAAACAACCATTCTTAGTGTCGTCACACAACCGTTTGTGGGGAGGAGCGTTGCGTGACGACACTAAGAACCGCTGTGTAGCAGACTACGACCCTGAGGGATTAACACTCCGACCTAAGCGGATTATCACCTCTCACGACCCTGGGGGTTGTCACCTGCTAAAGAGGACTACCAATGCTCGCGATCTTGAGGGATTATTAACCGCTAGAGTTAGTGTTTCGTGTTACGAAAGTCATTCTAACTATTTATTTCCTTAAAAAAAGTAATGTAGAAAGTAATCAGTTGTAAAAAGTCCCCTTTATAAATAATCAGATCGTCAATACCTGCACTTTTTTTATTAATGTAATTTTACCCAGTAGTACACTTACTAACATTTTCTCTTGTGCGTAACATGCACGCAGATTAAATTGTCCCCCATACGAATTTTTTTGCTTCTTGATTCAGCTCTTTTGCAGTTGGAGCCCACGCTGCTAATATTGCCAATATTGAGATCAAGATAAATGAAGACCTGAGATCCCTAGAGCTAGGGGGAATGGATCAGGAATACATACTTGACCCAGACCTACGTGAAGTGTTGGCCAAAACAGAACTAGATATCAATAAAACAGGAGTGTTTGAAGACCAAGAACTGCGTTTGACAACCTCAGTGATTTACAGTCAGCGTTTTGTAGTTAAAGGCAACAGAAAAAACGAGGTACTTTAGAAGTTGAAAAGTATCTTTTTCTGCTTATTCTCCTTCTTCTTCTTTATTATTATTATTATCATTATTATTATTATTATTAGTAGTAGTAGTAGTATTATTATTAGTATTATATAGTGATATCTAACACGGTAGAGAATGAAAGTGAGATGATTTAGACTCCTGTTATCACCCCATTTTATCAATAAGCGAGCTTAATCGCTGTGACGCTGTGGGTATAAGTTGCTTGTGATTAGCTGTTTTGTCTTTCTACCCAGATGAAATTAATTGGAGAGATTTGTCGATTTGAGTTAATTGCTTGGTGCTGTTGAATGAAAGTTTAAGTTCGGCAAAGTTGCAACACTTTCCCTCTATCTTCATAAAACTTTACAGCAGTTGGGGTGGCGTACAACCGGGATAAAAGTCAACTCGACGAAACCAAGCCAGTCTGTCAGATATAATCAGGCTCTAAACGGTTTTGGCAATGCCAAAAATTAATCCTTTTTTATATTAATGCTGCCATTCGGTGGACAAAATACTACTCTTTTCACCCATTTTAACATTGATTTAGAAAATGGAAGAAGACGCAGAAGTAAATCCTCCAGGGGTAAAAGGAACAAACAAGACAATTGATATTCCTCCAGATATAGCAACGAGGCTGAACACTACTCGAGGACCAATCCTTTTCAACTGCTGTCGCGTTGTGTATAACAAGGAAACAAATCGATTGGAACTTCCCAAGGGAGAGGTTGTTGGAATAGTGAGACGATGAGAACGAGGAACGAGGAAAAAAGTAATTTGATCGGGAAGATCATCTATATATAGAAAGGGAGGGGATCAAGGGATACCGCAGTCGTGAGAGCATCCATCTCTCACCAATGTGAACCGAGTTTAAATCCCGGCATCGTAGCAATATGAGGTTCTCTCCTTTGCTCCGAGACGTTTTTCCTCCGTACATGTACTCTTTCCCCTCTCCCGAAAACCAACATTTCCATATTCCAATTGGACTAGGAATGTGTTGATGTGCTAAATCTAAATCGTTGTTTATTATTTATTGATTGCTATATTGAATAACAAAATAGAGAATGAAAGTCATTACTTTGATTTGAGGTACGCGGTTGACTGCTGTTGTAGCTCTTCAGGCTTAGTAAAACATGTTTATCGACGTAATTTGATTGTATAATCACACAGATAGATTGAATTTAATTACATCAAATTTGCGAGCAATTAGTTTAATTGATTAAGTGCTGGTTTATACCTCACAATGTAATTAGAAAACTTGCTTTAGGTGCAGATTCTTAAACATATTAGAAAACGTATGACATGGAAAGCACTAAAAGCATTTTTTAGTGTGTAACGGAATATGGCGTTAAATCACGACCCGAGGAATAATTCTGAATAATAATTCTTATTGTAGATGGATTTTGGAGCACAGTGCACATTGTAGCTAGAGTTGCCTCCTCTTTATTTTCTTTCCACAAAGTTGGAGATTTGTGATTTTGTTCAAGATACGGCGTAGCAGTATAAAATATTTGATCGTTCTCTTAAAATGTTATCTTCTAAATTCATCCAACAGGTTTGTCTGAGGAAAATGAAACTGGAACAAACTGGGCCTTTGAAAGTTTGCCTATATCCGGCTTCTTGAAGCAATTTTGCGATCGCATCTCGAGTCTAGCATGTATCTGTGAGGTGTGATCAGATTTTAGTATTGTAACCGTAAAAATAAAATATGCTTTTTTACCGGTCATAATTCCTCCTGAAGCCCATTTATAGACTTTTGTATAAAACACCATTAAGGAAGTAGTAAGTGATTGAATTCACCATTTTCGAAAGCCTATAATGTGCAAGGTCTGTTGTTTACAGGATTTCGGCACCAAAAATATGAACTATTACAAAAATTTATAAATAAAACTAGGTACAACCGAACGCATTTTTCTCTCAGGTGTTTTGGTTTAGCCTATGGACAACCACCTCGTCTGTTACGATTTTGCAAATCATCAATATTTTTTTTAACAATAATCCGACTTGGTTGGTATAACTGAAAAAGAAGTAAAAATAAAATTGATTCTTACCTTGTAAAAGGACAGAATATCTTCCTTTGTAACGGTCATCAAAAATGCCACCTCGATATTATCTATTCAGAGGACAAAGATGCAACCAATAGTTTAAATACTTTTACTAGCCTGTAGAACTGGCGATTTGTTGGACGAGAGTTAAAAAGCTGCCAGGGACGGGGGGAGTTGGTGCTGTCAAATATGGGCTATATAGCCATATATGGTTAGGAATTTTTGTTGTTTGTAATTTTAGTTATTTGAAAATACTTGATATACTATTTATTGCATAAGACTCCAAATAAAAACATGTATGTATGTATGATCCGCTATAAGCCAGTATGTGCCGCTGGGAAGGGTATGGTTTTCAAGCAGTTTACTCTGGGATAGGGTATATAAATCAGAGAGTTTGGGTCTAGAATAGGGTATCATTTTCCACGAAACTGATCAATTGGTTGAAGATTTTTTGTTCAGACTAGGGAAACCGGGAATTGCCACTCAAAAATATAAAAAAATCCAGTGGGTTTTGATTTGGCTGCACTGTGCTAGTGACCTCAGTAGTTTCTGGAAAACAGCGACTCTAAGATAGGGGGGAATTTGTGTAGTATAGGGTAGTAAAATTCACTTGAACTAGCTCTGGTATAGGCTAACGGTTTCAGGGTCCCAGCGGCACATCCCCACTCGAAAACTCCTAAAGTCCTCCCAAAAAAGCTGCCGCCCCATTCACCTCGCAGCTTCACCGCCCATTTGCACGCTCGACAAACAAAACCGCCAGCTACGCAGCTTTTACTTTTACTTTCTTTCGGTTCCATATTTGCTTGTGAGAGCCTTGGGCAGCTATTTTTCAATCGATGGCCTAATGAAAATTATCCAATCTTTTGTGGATATTCCCCACCTTAGAGGTGGGGAGAATCGCGTACGCATCGAGGCACCCACGGCTGAAGACTGAGCCTAGGGTCGACAGTAAGCGCGGGAAGGAATGGTAACATGCGTGGAACATGCGCGCATAAACAGGAAATTGGTGCCATGCGCGGAAAACACGCAAGTGAAAGCAAAGCATAACAGAATCTTATACAAATATCCAAGAAAACCCAGAATTCAAGAGAGAAGTTGTGGTCTATTTTATCCTTGGTTCAAGTTTTAATTCGTTTGCTTTTTTACCCTGGCTGCCATAGGTATTTTTTCGCGGCGAAGCCCGACAGCGAAGCGCAAAACGCATAAACTGTTGGTGAGCAGGGCGGTTTATTTCATCCTAAGTAAATTGAGAACGTACGCTTGGAGCCAGGGTATTGTTTTCCTGGCAATGAATGAAAATAAAATTTGGACCAACGACAAAACTGAACCTCAACATATCCACTTTTTCCTATAGACTGGGATATTAGTATTTACCTCTATCGAAGTTGTATTGTCTAGAGAGAATTTCTTTCCAGTGTCTACTGCATTCCGAAGATAGTTTTTTGGGTTTGTCGAGTCTTCTCACAGCCAACGCTTCAATGTGGTTCTTAAATTCTTCATCTGTCATTGCCTTAATGTACTCCTAAGCAAAAAGATAAACTTATGGTTACTTTACGCCAACTAAGACATCCACACAGACAAATTTGGATTCTCTGAAAACCAACCTCAATTCCTTCAAGGAACTTTTCGATGCGTGAATCTAGCAAGGAAGGTTCTTTTTCAGACTGAATTATCACGCGAAGTCCCTAAAAAAAATTACAAAAATCTTGTTAACAAAGAATAGGATTCAGGTACGGAACGTCAGAAACGTTTATAGTCACTTATATCGCCACGGGCAATTTTCTATTAATTTATTTACTTGTTCTTTATATACTTGCATTGGTTACTTATTCGGCTGGATGAGGAGATCATCTTTAACTCTGCAAATTTTTTAGGCTTTTTAAACCACTGGCAAAGGTTACAAACAACAACAACCATTTCTTTAGTAACAAAAAATCAAAGATTATTCCAACCTGCACACCATTGCATCTTCTTACTCCACTCCAGACAATATACCCTGAAAGGTAAGTAAATAAACAGATTGTTAAATAGGATTTTATGGTTCTTGAACGACCGAAACCAGTTAATTACTCGACCAAAACTCCAGCGAGCCAGTAGATCTCTTCACGGTTTTTTCATCTTAAGATATGGATCAGTTTGGAAAGAGCACCTTACAATCAGTATTATTATTTGCCAAGTTCGAGACTAACATGCTGAGAAATAACAAAGACATGGCTTCGTAGAGTCGCGGAATTTTGTATTGTGGGGGTAAGTTTCAATCCCCACCCTCCCCCAGGCGTTCAGTTACAGGCGACAGCGAGGCACGAAGAGCGCAGCAAGGAGCGAGCTGGAGAGAGAGAGGCGGAGCTCCCTGAGTCTGGTTTTGTTGTTATTGTCCTTGTTTGTGAGGTTTTTTTTTATCTGCTCTCCATTTTGCGCTGTTCCTCAGTATCTGAACACCTTCAACAGGCGAATTAAAAGTCTATCGTTGGACCATTACACCCTGTTCCTGGTAAAGGCGGAGATTTCGACTATTAGCCATTAATGGTGCACAATGCATCATACGCCCCCCCCCCCCCCCCCTCAAAAAAAAGGTATTTTTTTGGGGTGGCCAAAGGGCTCAATCACAAAATAGCAAAATAAAAAACATTTAAAAAACAAAAAAAAAACCAAAAAGCCTTTTATTCAAGGGATTTTCATAGGCCAAACATAAAGCTTTCACCATATTCCGCCCATCACAGTGTGTTTCTCTCAAGTGTGTGTNTTTCAACTTTTAGCAAGCGGCAACCAAACAGCGATTGCGAGGTTTCTCGCTCATTTGCTTTTGCTGTTAGTAAAACGTAGGGATGACGTAATTATTGAAAACCAGAAGCGTCAAATACTCTCTTGATAAAGTGAAAAACAATCCACGAAAGGTTTTAAAACCAGTGATTATAAAAAAAATAGGAGACAAGTCGAATTTCATACTCACGAAGTAGT